TATCCACTGAAATGGCTGATTCAGCTTTGGCAGTTCGAAGCAACAATAACAAAAGATACCCTTGGGCCTTTGTGCACATGAATATTGTTGCTGAAGCGTGGGTCCAAAACATTAACAATGCAGGGAAGGGAAAACAAATATCTTGCCCACAATGGTTCATTCACATGGCATGCTATCAATTATGTTTGTTATACAACCAGCATTACATTGTGTTTGTGAACGCTTTTCATTTTGACAAATGTTGCGGAAGGCCTTTGAGTTTCACTCCTAGAAAGCAGCTTCACATAAATCTCATTTTAATTACCAAACAAACTATTCTGTGTCAAATGTAAATCACTCCAAATTTTAGAAGCGCTGCCATCAGGCAAAAGCAATAGCATGCCTTATAAAGGAGGGTATTACATGCTCACACAGCACTGAGTGATGAACAGCTGTGAGTTGTTATGCTTCAGCTGCTTTGATTCTTTAGTTCATTTAGTTTAACTTTTCCAGGTTCTTGTCTCAATTTCCCCAAAGACCAAGTCCACTTGTTTCTCCAACACATCTGCAGTGGTCTTGGGTGTGAACAAATGCCTTGTGAGTCTATCTCTGTGGGAAACAATGCGCTGGTGCTCCGGATTCACCTAGTAGAAGTGAGCCAAAGAGGAAGTGAACAGCAAACTGCAAGATTTGGAGTCGTATTTCCTGATATTCGGATATCTCACCTCTGATTGAACACAAACACGACTCCACTGATCTGCTCGCTCTTCAATGTTGACACAGTAACACAAGACTGAAGGAATTCTGCCATGTTGTGGAGTTGCTAATGCTAAAGGTTAGCTTCTGCTGACTGGGATGTGTTCCTCTTTTTCCTGCATGCTAAATCAACAAAGGCCTTCCCCATCGGAAGCGGACATGAGTGATTCCATGAATCCTAGTTTCCAATGTGACTTTTCGAATCTGAGTGTTTCTGTCTAATAAGTAGAAAACGTTTCCTCTGTGAAGCTCGTCTTTAAATTAATTTCTGCCATGATTTAACATAAAAGCTTTATGTGATAGTATGCATTTTCAGTGTATTCAAATATGTGTTCCCTTCAAGGACTTTTGTGTTTTGTGTAACTAAAGCATTTTTAACAGCCTCCTTGAGATACTCACATTTGCCTTAGCTCAAGCCTTGCAGCCATGTATTTTGTATATAAGGAGACTTTAATTTAAATAAGTGCTTTGTAACTCCTCTTCATTTGCTTCACATAAGGTTAACCTCTTGGATCATTTCCAGACTCTCAGCGGCGCGGACTGCTATACGGCCTTCATAATGATGCATTGGGCCGAACTAAACAGACTAGTAGATGATCATAAAGCATAAGGCCAACAAGGCTGATGTTTGAATTTACTTTCAAAATAAAACTTGCCTTTAATCAGAACCCAGTGATTGGTTTAACTCTCGTGAACAGATATCAAATACATTTATATAGTGCAACAATTTCCACATCCACTGCTTGCTCTTGTATGACATAACTTAAAAATAAAAGGAATTTCTGAACTTCTTGACCAGACATTACCTAGAATTGGCTCAGTGAGGTATGAAATAAGTTAAGCCAGGTGAGGAAATATTATACACAGGCTAAAGCGCACAAAGGCAGAGATTAAACTGCAAAGAGGACAGTGGAATAAAAGCTGTAAAATCTAGACAGAGCAAGGTGGCACTTTAATCTTTGGAAAAGATTGTCACGATCCAGAATTAAGAAGATAACTTAAAAAAGTTATTGGATTCTCCTTCAGCCACGGACGTTAATCAAACAATGGTGATCTGCCTGCTTTTCATTTCAGTGTTCCCCAAACTGAAGTAAAAAAAAAAAAGATTATAACAAAGATCTGAAGAAGTGCCAAGTTGCTGCAAGTAATATAATTAGCCTCGGGGGTCTTTTTTTTTTTTTTTGGACATGAAACCCTCCATTCTCTTCCCTCATGACTAATTCACAAGGCCTTGATTCTCCTTTGGCATCTCAGGATGTTGCCTGTGAGCCACGGAGACGCTTGTACGGGTTAAGTTCACTGTCAGTTTTAGGACTTGGAGCCTTTCTGATGATGTACTTTTGATGCCGTTTGTAAATGTTGATGTGTCAGGGTTATTTACCTCCTCCCCCTTCTCTTTAGAAGACAGGCCAGGGTGGATGAAGGTGAAACAAAACCTTTCCCAGTATTTACTCCCAAATGGGCTAAATTGTTAGGGTAACTGTAACAACATATTCGTCTCAAGAGAACATGTTTGCTTTTATGAAACCGTGAGATGAAAATCCAAACTGTGCTTTTATCAGAGTCAGAAAGAGAAAACTCCTCTGACATGGCATTCATATTGAGTTATGAAAGATGCAAAAGAGAGTTTTGCTCTATAGATGTACTCCGCCGTCAGTTTGGAGAATGAGTATGTGTGTGCAGCAGTGGATGGAAAGGTGTGTCACTGTCTACTGTGTGTATGTCTATGCATTTCTTACTGTGTGTGTGCATACTGTAGGTGTGTATGTAGGGCCTTAGCTGTCTTGCAAGTCAATAGACACACTGTCACCACTGGCAAGTAATTGACAGCTCAGAGTTTGCACTGACGCAGGTCTTGCATATTTTCCCTCCATTACCATTTGTGTACGTCAGCCCTGGAGTCCTCCTTGGCAGTGCGTTCAGGAGTCGTCTAGCTTGGCAGCGGATTAAACAAACACCCTCCATTCCAGGCTTTCGGGGAGAAATGATAAACTCCCTCACCCCTACTAAGCCAAATGGGTGCAGGAAGGCTCCAGCTTGCTCGTTGCTGATTAGTTTTATATTTACAGTTTGAACCACCTGCAGCACTTCCTGCTCCTAAAAGTTGTTTGCAATTAAAAGTCAGGCACTGGCAAATAGTGTTTGGCCAATAAGAGAATCAGAGTAAATATAATGAAAACAAATGCCCAAAACTCTCGTTTGGAAACTGGAGTTTATTTTCTGTTTTACACAGTTGTTTTCATGGGAAATGGGAATTTCTTCAGATACACGTTTATGAGTATTTTAGTTAAATGTGTTATATACAGTAATAATACAAAAAAAGGTCACCGTATTATTTTTGTATCATTTAATGATAAAACAAAAAATAAAGAAGCAATAAGTCAGAATTGTACCGTGAAATAACCACAAAACAGGCTAATGTGCAAATCAGTGGTACTCCCTCCAGGTCCTGGAGAGCCGGTATCCTGCATGCTTTAGTTTCAACTCTGCTTCAACACACCTGATTCCCATCAGCAGGTGATTAACATGCTTCTGAAAAGCCTGATGAGCTGCTGCACAGCGGATTCAGCCACATAATGTTGGAGTAAAGTAACAACAGGAACATGCTGGATACCGGCTCTCCGGGACCAGGAGTAAGTACCTGTGGTAACGGAAGGAAGGTCACATTTAAACAGATTTGATTCTCAGTTGGCTGGAGGCGCTGTCAGTTTATCTTGTTTCAAAAGGTTGAAGAGGACCGTAGACAATGTTTACAATCTTCTCAGATGCCAGTGAGTCACAGGATTGCTGTAAAGTATCTGACACAACCGGTGCTACGTTCACGGTCATTCAAACGACTCCAAGATGACCAAATCATCAGCTGTCCACGACCGTGCTGAGAGCTGTGATGAGCCATCTGTGGCCATGTGATATGTTAGGTTTTCTTCAAACAAGGAGTTTTACACTATGGGTATGCTTTCTCTTCTGTCCAAAGGACATTGTTCCAGAAGTCTAGTTCATCCGGATGTGGCTTTCCAATCCTAATTGGTCCCTCAAACCTACCAAACAAGCCATTTTTGGTAAGTCTTTCTAGTTGTGAGGTCATGAACTTCAACCTTTAACCTACTATAAAGTGTCCAATCCAATCCAATTTTATTTATAAAGCGCATTCAACAAGGCATTACAACCAAACAAGGCACTGTACACTAAAAATGTTAGTTAATTAAACCGGCGTTATACAATCATGTCGAACACAGATAAAAGATAAAAAGGAAATACAACAAAATTCCCAAAACTAACATCTAAAAATCAATAAAACACAGGGAGAATAAAAAATTAGAAAAACATTTTAAAAAAGAACCTCAATAATACGGAAGTTGATATTGTGAATTCCATTTTTAAACAAGGCAGTTGTAACTGAGGTTCATAATTATGTGGTATACGCTAGGTATAGCGTATACTAAGTGTGAGATGAAGCTCTGTTTCTCTGTTATAACTGACCCAAATAGAATCTTCTACGTTTGTTTGCACATTAATTTTAGCCTTTCTCAATTTCAATTTGTGGGTCAACCGTTGCTCTTTCAAGGTCAGTGTGGATGTATTTCCATCTTGGTCTGGCATTAACATACACTAGTATGCTCCAGAAATACAAAATCCAGAGGTGCTCACACTCATGATAATTAACTAATACAATTATTTCCCCTCTTGAAATGGGCAGAATTACTATTGACGTATTTTTACATCTTTTCAATTTTTTACCCTTGAATAGCCAATAACCTGTGTTGTGTCTTTTGGTACAGTTTTGGTTAGATTAGAACAATTTTAGAACCTGGCCAAAACCACGTCCAGATATGTAAAACCCTACGACTGAAACACAAACAGCTTCCTTTCACTGTAACTTCATGAGTGCAGCTTAAATGCCACCAAGTGAATGTAATGTCAGCAGGTGAATTGATCAAATCAATCAGCAGTTACCCTGTCTAATGTTGGTGTAACACGTTTTCATTTCTGCCATTACAGCAAAAAAAAATAAAAGGGGGGGGGGTCTATTATGAGCAAAGCAGAGACAACAGATGCATCAACCTCTCTGCAGCTTTACATGTAGAAATCCCCCCATACCCATTTGTGCACAGGTGTGAGATGTGGGGGTTGGGAGGGCACGTTGGTTAAGGAAACGTTATGCAACACTCCGTCTCCCCCCTCTCCTTTTTTCCATTGCTTCCTGTTCTCCAACAAATCGTTAGTTTCACTTTTCATTAGTCTGAATCAATAAGGCGGATCAGTGGCTGATGGTGTGGACTGCGTGGCAGACACCCCGCTCGGTCTCCTTTCTTTTTATTCATTCTTCCTCTCATTCTTTGTTCTTTCATGAACTCCGGCTATCTCCTCAGCAGCCATCCAGTCGGAGAGATCGAGTGAGGCAGCGGGAAGCGTGGAGGGGCTCGAGAAAGAGAGATGAGCCACAGCTTGGAAGACTGCTTACCCGGTAAGATGAAAATGGCAGAGCAAAATGAAAACCCGCTAAAGATTACTTAAGAGCCCCTAACCTCTCAAGCTTAAAGCAATATTAAAAATGGAGGCTGTATGCTGACAAGGAAATTAAAATTTAAATGCTCATACAGACACACGATCTCTATTAAATGGTACTGCTGCTTATTTATTTGTTTTTCTTGGGGGGGGGGGGGGGGGGTATTTATATTACAAACTTGCTGTAGTTATTTTTTTTTTAAATGTCAGATTCGTAGAACCCTTAAGGACCAAGTTTTCTTGATTTTTCAACACATTTGCTGTGGTCTCTAGTATAAATTAATGTGTTGTGAGTCGATCTCTGTGGTGTTCCTGTTTCAGCAACTAGAAGATAGCAATAACGGGGAGCAGAACACGGCAGGATTTGGGGTCTTACTCATTCCTGATATCCGGACATCTCGCCTCGGATAACAGCATTGCGACTCCACCGCTCACTCTGTTTGCTCTGCAACATTGATGTTTTATCACCACCAAAAACACAAACCTGGAGGAGTTCTGCCATGTGGTGAGTAGCTAATGCTAACAGTTTGCTTCTACTATCTGAGACATGCTCTGCTCTCTCCTGGACACTAAATTAACAACAGCTTTCCAGCGCTCCTCTGTGAGAGCGGAGGTTGGGTAGTTGCACACGTATGGCTGCTGTTTCTCACCAGTATCAGCTGATGGAGAGCTCTAGTTTCGTTGCACCGTTCGTGTTGCGGACCGCCAGGCTTATAAAGCGTGGGGGAAACCCTGCTGTGTCTAATGCAGAAATTGGGGTCAGAAGACTATTTTCACATTAAGCCTGCATGTTAAACTCAGAGTGACTGATTACTTTCAAAATTTACAAATAAAACATGGTTTCTCAGTGAGCTTGTTCTTTAATGTCTGCAATATGAATCAATAATAATGAAAAAGTGATTTTGACACTGAACTGTTTACTGTCTGATGTTTATTTTATTATGTAATTTTATAAAACATATAAGGGCCTGATGGACAGATGACCAGTGTGTCTGCTGCCTCTCACCCTCAATGACAGCTGGATATCGCCCCTGGCTTTCCCACAATCTGAGTAAGAATGTAATGGTTTACATAATGAATGGATACAAGTATAAATAAATAAATGACTGTTGCCATCTGTAGATCCTCCACAAGAAGGCAGAACACACAAATGCTATAGATAATGGCAGGTCTATGATGAAGGCACTGAACCTAATACTCCATCAGGCCTGAAGGGGTTTGACAAAAATTTTGAATGAAGCAAAGCAAGCAGCAAGCAGTCAAATCTCCCATAGACAACACAAAACACCTCATTTGAGTTGTTTGACTGGACTCTGAGCTCCTTTTGAAAAACCAAGTTCTTCACCTTATGAGTCTGACCCTGGTTTCACACTGGAAGCATCAGCGGCACGAAATGGCAGCGGAACGGTTTACTCGTGAACTTCAAAGCGGTCCTTTTCACACCATGAGTTTTGGCAGAGGCACGGCTTCCTCGCTGGGCTCGTCGCTGGATTCATGAGATCACACGATTCCTCGAGACTTCAGGTCACGGTTTGTGTATACAATCCGTCATTAAACCAAAAAGAAGGAAATCACATTTGCTATCGCTGTTTGATGTCATATATGATGTTGTTCTTCTCCACTGCCATGATTAAAGCCATGAAAACACACCACTGCACTTCTGAAATGATGTGAGTAAATAAGTCATTGGGTCACACGTGGGTGGGTCACATGTTGCATCGCTGCAGTACTTTTATTTTGAAAATTATTGGGGATTTGCACACTGAAACAGTGTGTGATTTCCTGTCTAGCCCTTTGTTAACTGCAGAAATTGACTCATCCCAGAAGCAGGTCGTGGCAAAATAGAACCCGATGCCAACTCTAGAGGCGCGGCGTGCCGCCTCTGGGATGCTCCTGGAAATTGCTGCGTTCTGATGGTTTAAGTCCACAGTCTATAGACTATAATAGATTCTATTTGAAGCAGTGATATTCTGCTGCTGTTCCACGCTGCTGATGCTTTCAGTGTGAAACCAGGGGGTCATCAGCTATCTGAGCTCATTACCCAAAGCTCATGGGCCCATAGGTGAAGGTCGGAAAGCAAATGTGCACATCAACAACTGATTACGTTTCCATACTTGCTTTGGTTTCTATTTCTTGCAGTTGTATGAGTATTTAACAACTATGTGAATGAATGAAACTGTTGCGCACCCATGAGTTATTTGACTCTCTTGATTTGTTGACCATGTTGGCTGACTTACCCAGGACGGTGAGCCGAGCAGGACGGGACCTCATGGCAGCCTGGACGGCCTGGCATTCAAACACTGCATCATCCATCAGCTCAACACGCTGAATGCGCAAATGATGCTCCCCCGAGCCGTGGTCGCCAATCACTGTGTAACGTGGATAGCCTGCAGCGCAAACAGTTTTGTTTATTTTACATCATTTTCAATGTCAGAATACAACTGATCTGCCAAAATGCATTCATTTGTTAAGTTCCTCATAAATCATAAAGTCTGTTGTCAAGCATGAATTCAGTGTTACCAGGTTATGAGTGCATTAAAAGAGCTACATAGATTGATTTATATAGCTAGATCGTTTGTTTAATAACGCGTTCACATTACATTTACAGCGCTCGTGGTGATGCTACTGAGATGCTGTGGAAGTTTCTGCATCCAGGACAAATCATGTTCCATCAGAACAGTGAAGATGAATGGCTCAAACCTGAGTTGTTTCAGCACTGCTGTGTGAAAGGGATTTACAGTTTAATAACGGGAGAAAGCAGAGGGTTATCCAAGAGACCTGGGGAGTCGAACCAGATGGTTTTATGGATATCCCCTCAACTAATATCAAATTTTGCATTGGGTGTGTGTAATGTGGAGTGCTTCTTTCTGTGGGGACGAATGATCAGGAAAACGTACGTGTTAAACTAATGTGCACTGTGAGGTATTTTTACAGGCTTTTGGAATTGTTCATCGATGAAAAGCCTTTTATGCGACATCTCTTCATGTTTGGACGTGGATACAATTTGTAGAATGCAAGGATATTTTCTTGTCCTAAATCTTTTACTTTAGACAAATGTGAGACATTTCCAGTTGAGGAAAGGCTCTTTTTGATTTTTTTCCACTACAGTTGTCCTTCTGTAATTGATTGGTGATAAAACCAGAGGATTGGATTGAAGAGCTTTACAGGAGAACAAGGCCAGGCATTCTCAGAGAGCCCCAGGGCAACTTTTTTGCAAATCAATCTACACTTCTCTGTCACCTGGGGATGCACATGCATCGTTTCACAAGTACGTTGGCCGGCATTTTGTAGGTCTGATGCTGGAATTTCAGTCGTGGTTCAGCGCCACGGTAACTTCTATGGCGGGAAACCCTGATTGCACTCATGCGTCCGGACCACGATCATGTATTTACTAATGTGTTTATAGATTTCAGAGACTTTTTAACAGGGACAAATGTGTCCTTTGTTCTCCTCTAGCTCTTCATGTGGTCACCAACTCTAAACCATGCTCTTAACCTATGCTTTTCTCATTTCCATCCACGAATAAAATGTTTGCTCAGTATCTATGAACTCCTTCAGTCACGGGTGAATAACGTAATTTTTTTTCTTTTTTTTTACTTTTCCACAATGCGTTCTTAAATCTGTTCTGTGTCTGCTGCTAAATATCATTTTACTTTTTGACGGGGCAATGGCGGTGCTGTTGATGAATTTAAATGAAGTGGCGTCCTGACCATTCACAAGCTTGCAGACGGCCAAGTATAAATCAAGCTTTATGAACAGCTATTACAGCAGAAATCTGGAGTTTTTCTCAGAGGGCAACACCTAGAGGTGCAACAGTAATTGCACCTCAAGCCCCTCATCCTGCTTTTGTGATTATAGCTGAAAGCAACGTCTCTCATTTGTGAAAACTTACATCTAGCTGGCCGACAGAGCTAAAACACATTGTTTTACAATTATCATTCCACCTACACACACACACACACACACACACACACACACACACACACACACACACACACACACATATATATATACATATATATATATATATATATATATATAATATATATACACACACACTCACACACACACACACACACACACACACACACACACACATATATACACACACACACACACACACACACATATTATATATATATATATATATATATATATATATATATATATATATATATATATATATATATATATATACACACACACACTCACACAGACATTAGAAAAGCTTGTTTGTCCTTAAGAAATGTTAACAACTCTGCATCAGTCTGGTACAGTGAATACTCTGACTGACATCTGTACATAAGCAAATGTCTAGCGCTAATAGATAATTCTGACTTTCTCAGTGGCCAAGTGGTATTTCCCCTACTGGGACATTGTGGGTTCAAATCCACTGCCAAGTCACAGGAAATACTTTAAAAAAGGGACCCAATACCTTCTTGCTTGACATTCATCATTAACGGGTTGGATTGGGTCTTAAACCATCAAATGGTTCTCGAGTGCAGCCACTGCTCCCCCAGGGGATGGGCCAAATGCAGAGATGTAATTTCACTAGTGTCTGATGATGACTAATTGGACTTCATTGATGAGAGGCACTCAATTCAAACTGCTGCATTTGGATTTCTGAAAAATAAAGTCATAGATAATTTCTGAAAAGGGGAAAACTCCGGACTGGTTTAAAGTTCTTGAATTTGTCTCTGGCAAAAGCCATCATATGCTCTATGTCCAATTACTGACTTTAGCTTCATTGAATCCAGCAGCTTTTAATAAAGCATGAAGTGGATCTTATAGGCTGGTGGGGTGAGTTACAGCCGATTAAGCCACTCTCTGCATTTCATCCTCCCACGTGAAGTCTTTAATCTTAAGGGTCTATACAGTTGGAGGGCGTAGGACAAAGGAAAATCTTGACACAAATATTAAAGCTGAGAGGAGGGTAAACAAGAAGAAAGTACTGGTAACAACATACACACACCAACTATTTAATCATGTACACCTTGCTAGTACCAGGTTAGAGCCTACTCTACCATCAGAACTGCTTTAATTGTTCATGCCATAGGTTCAACTAAGTGTTCCTCAAAGGTTCTGGTCTATACTGGCATGGAACCACAATACAGACTTGTCGGCTGTGCATCTCCAAAGAGTACTGTTGCCTTTCAATCATTTTGAACACAATTGCATCGGACCGCTGACTTATCCAAGCCATTGGATATTGTCTCTTAATTGGACATTTCACTCTCTGTCAGCCCTACAGAGGGTTGTGGGTGAAAATCCCAGCAGATCAGCAGCTCCTGAAAACTCACATGAGTCTGTTTGATAGAAACAACAATACATTCAGTTACCTAAATCCTCTTTGAAATCTGACGCTTTAATCTGACCAAGTCGTTTTCACCACTTAGATGCCTAAATGCATTAGATTGTTTCCATATGAGTGGCTGACTAACTGACCCATTTAGCCAGCTATTGTTGCCAAAATGTATCACTGTCATTTTTGACTCACATCTAACTAATCCAACTTTTACCAATTATTTGCTAGTAAACAACTGAGACAAAAGTTTTGTTAAAAATGTTTCCAAGTGCTTTGATGGGTTAATTCTACCACCAATATCAAAGAAATCCTTTAGAACAAATTTGCAAAGCGGAGTGTGAGATGGGGCGTGTGTGTGTTCACGTCCCAACTCAGACTGAAATCCACTTGGCTCAGCTGAGTATTTTATTAGAAGTGATTACACAATCATTAAAATGGAAAAGAACACACAAGATGAAACTTTAGGGAGTACCTCTCATCAGCGGTATGCAGGAACAGAAACTTCTAGTTTCACTGGGGAGTCAAGATGTGAGTGTTTCAATCATGGAGTCAGACAGTGTGCTTTGCCACGCTGCTCTTATGTGCGCTGAACGATTTTAACATCATAAGGCATTGATCAATTAGAGGACCTTCATGATGCTACAAAACCGTTTCTAAAATCTCTCCGCCAGTGGGCACAAAGCATGTTGCTAACTAAAGAAAAACACCGTCAGCAGGATTGCTCCTAATTTACTTATTTGAAATTGTAGAAAGATGTACAATGGCTCATTTTAGTCCTCTTAGAATACTTTTCCAAGCTAAACATCTTCACAGGTATTCAAGGCCTGTGTGTATAGGATTGTTTTATGTTACCATACATCATTTTCTTTCAGAAAACACTGACAATAACTGGTGTCACCAGGTTTGACAGCTCGAACCACTGGTCCTGCAACACTGGTTGCAGGTACAAGTGGTGCAACAACTGTGGTGGCCGCACACCATTTGCGTGCGAAAAAAGTGATGTGCCACTGCATGTGGAGTGCTTCAAAAAGTACCACATTGAGTAGTGCATCTATAACAAATGATAGATTATGTGGTAAATATGCTATATAGATACATTTGTGTTAGATGTTCTAAGAAAACATGTTTGTTGTGATTTTGAGTTTAAAAGGTGAATAAAGGAACCTGTTCAAATTGTTTCTTGTTTTGAATTTTCTGAGGCTCCACCATTATTTGTTATTTTTAATGACTATGCTATTACTTTGTCGTGCCCTTGGCACAGGCCACCTATGCACTCACCTCAAATAACCATTGGAGGAGGTGTTGCTGCAGTGGAGTGCACCAAAATGACAGCGGTCAGCCCTGGTTATGATGATATTATTATTACTTCTCTATTCCTATTATTAGGTGACATTTCACCTACTGACAAGCTGTGTGACCTCTGCCAGTCATAAAAATGCTATTTTCTTCAAAAAAAAAAGTACATAATTGAAAAAAATATTTATAACATGATTCAGAGGTACTCAACTCAACTGATAAAATTATATGCATTTTGACTGAAAATTTTTGGGCACTAATGGGTTAACAGGCACTTGGGCAAGTGTACATAATAAGGTGGTCAGCGAGAGTATAGATAAAATGGGTAGACATCTAAGGTCAATGATCCTCTAAGAAATGTGACACCATGATGACAGCGTGTCACCTTTCCTCGACTTTCACTGTGGTGGCCCTTTAGTGACCTAATGCTAGAGTTAACAAGGACTTGATCACACCGGAAAGCACTGAGTAATATCACTCATAAGCACTGAGTGATAACAAGCTCAGAATAAAGTCGATGAAGCACCTTTGCATGCAAAAGGTCACCCAGAGAACCACTTGGCTCCATTTTGGCAGTGATACTATTGTGAATCACAGGATTGATGATCACTGCACAGATCTGAATAATGTGAACTGCGTTTGACTCTAGTCTGTGTACCAGATAGAACTTTGTTTTGCTTGTTCCTAGTCATAGCTCTGTATAAGCCGAGTGGATTTCTCCAACACATACACATCATCTTGCCAGTTACCTCATCTGTGCTTCTGGCAAACTAAGAATAATATTTCTGTGTAGAGACATGGCTCTCATCCAGCATTTCATTTTGATGCATTAGCTGGATCCAAAAAAGAAAAGTCATTTGCATTTGTGATGGATAGCGAATGATAAAGATGTTATCATCTCATAGTCCAAGAATTGAAACGGTGTAATGTGTTTTGCCACCTTATAAGCATCTTGATTATGCATTTTGTCAATATGATTGAAATTACGCGGGCAGACAGGAAGACTGATCACCTCTGCACATGTGATGTGTACATATAAAGGACCATTGATCTTGGGTCTCAGCACATTTCAAAGACACAATGTGTTACCCAAAGCAAACAATGTAAAATAGGCCCATTAAGGAGTAATGAATCCATCAGGGAGAAATGGATTTGTCTTGAGGCTGAATCAATGCTGCACAAGCATGTGTGTGTCTGTGTGTGTGCATGCATACATGTAACTATAAAGACACTGAAGATATGGCCTGGTGATTTGTAGCATTCACCTAGAGCACGTTTGCCACTGTGTAACCATCGAGGGATAGAAACAGGTTTGCTGCAGCTCTGAACAGGTGAGTGGTGTTCAATTTGTTCTCGTGAGAGGCAGGAGTGGCACAAGCTCGCTTCTGAAAAGGTCCGCTATCGCGTCTCGCTCCAGAACGTACACATTATACACAAACACTTCCTTCTTTGCCTTGTTCCATGTGCACAACCGGCAGTTATATAGACATGTACTGTAGGCCCGCTGCTTCTTTTGTCGCCACCCGCGCGCCGAGCAGATACGTTCTATGTCATGCATATTCATGACACTGATTGGTATGTTGAGCCGCGCTGGGGCTACTTCACGTTTTCTTTAATTAGAGTGGAAAAGCGTGGCACAAAGGGGAACGAGGAGGAAATTCGGGGACAGATAGGAATCATTGGCTTTTGTGCAGCGATTTCTCGCTCCGAATGGTGAAAGAGTTCTCTCAGTTTAATCACCGCTCCCGTGAATGGAAACAGGTCCCAGGCGGAGGATGCTGCCACCGCAGCTTCTTTCTATGAATAGATGAGCAAACCTATATTATTGAAATGCTCCGTGTGACATTTGATTCGTTGCACTCTCTACGTATACAGCCGCCACTTTCCTTTCATTGTGTGCGTCTTGCTGTGATATACCATCACTCTCTTACGGGTGCATGTGTTGTGTGTTTAGGTAGGCAGGACTGATAAAAAGGGACAGCTGTGGAGTGCTTTATTTTGAAAAAAATGTCATCTGTCTCAATGGAAAGCACTCAGCTTCTGTCTGGATTATATTGGTGATTTTAGAAACCTTTCTTCTCCCGGCTGCCGGCTATTTCGCTTCACACAAATCCCCTCTTCTTTTTAACACTTCTCTCCTCTGAAGAGAATAGTTGTGTAGAGGGTGGAGAATACTTCATACAGTCGGGGACTTTTTCACACTTTTCACAGATGTTTCATTAAAGGCTGATTTACTGTTGTTGAGTGTGTTGACCCAACGGTCCCCCTCTTTTTTATTCCTCCTCCTTGCTTTGCTTGCTGTGAAAATGAGATTTCATCTGGATAATTCCATCTTGTAAAAATCAATAAAACTAGAAAACATTCCCGCTCAAGTCCGAGCCTAAATACAGGTCCTTCTCTAAAAATTAGCATATTGTGATGAAGTTCATTATTGTGTGTAATGTAATGATAAACATTAGACTTTCATATATATTAGATTCATTACACACAACTGAAGAAGTTCAAGCCTTTTATTGTTTCTAATATTGATGATTTTGGCATACAGCTCATGAAAACCCAAAATTCCTATCTCAAAAAATAGCATATTTTGTGCGACCAATAAAAGAAAGTGTTTTAATACAAAAAAAGTTAACCTTCAAATAAGTTTTGCACTCAATACTTGGTCAGGAATCAGGCCAATTGAGCACAGTAATACCATGGTCAGTAAACCATTAACCAGTGGTTTTGGCACTGTGAGAAGGCGCCAGGTCGTGCTAAAAAAATGAAATCTTCATCTCCATAAAGATTTTCAGCAGATGGAAGCATGAAGTGCTCCAAAATCTCCTGATAGCTAGCTGCATTGACCCTGCCCTTGATAAAACACAGTGGACCAACACCAGCAGCTGACATGGCACCCCAGACCATCACTGACTGTGGGAACTTGACACTGGACTTCAGGCATTTTGGCATTTCCCTCTGCCCAGTCTTCCTCCAGACTCTGGCACCTTGATTTCTGAATTACTTGCAAAATTTGCTTTCATCTGAAAAAAGTACTTTGGACCACTGAGCAACCAGTGCTGCTTCTCTGTAGCCCAGGTCAGGTGCTTCTGCCGCTGTTTCTGGTTCAAAAGTGGCTTGACCTGGGGAATGCGGCACCTGTAGCCCATTTCCTGCCCACGCCTGTACACGGTGGCTCTGGATGTTTCTACTCCAGACTCAGTCCACTGCTTCTGCAGGTCCCCCAAGGTCTGTAATCGGTCCTTCTCCACAATCCTCCTCAGGGTCCGGTCACCTCTTCCCGTTGTGCAGCGTTTTTTGCCACACTTTTTCCTTCCCACAGATTTCCCACTGAGGTGCCTTGATACAGCACTCTGGGAATAGCCTATTCATTCAGAAATGTCTTTCTGTGTCTTACCCTCTTGCTTGAGGGTGTCAATGATGGCCTTCTGGACAGCAGTCAGGTCGGCAGTCTTACCCATGATTGCGGTTTTGAGTAATGAACCAGGCTGGGAGTTTTTAAAAGCCTCAAGAATCTTTTGCAGGTGTTTAGAGTTAATTAGTTGATTCAGATGATTAGGTTAATAGCTCGTTTAGAGAACCTTTTCATGGTATGCTAATTTTTTTAGATAGGAATTTTGGGTTTTCATGAGCTGTGTGCCAAAATCATCAATATTAGAAACAAAAGGCTTGAACTTCTTCAGTTGTGTGTAATGACTCTAATGTACATGAAAGTCTATTGTTTATCAGTACATTACAGAAAATAATGAACTTTATCACAATATGCAATTTTTTTAGAAGGACCTGTAGAACAAAGCTCTTTCCGTTTCTCTTTCATTCTATCTCAAGCAATCATAAGTACTCTCTTCTCTTCTGCCTCGTATTCATTTAAAGGAGACTTGATGGCTGCAGGACTCTTGTTTACAGCTACCTCTCAGGTTCCCCTGAGCCTGATAACAACCTGAACGGAGAGTGGAATGGCTTTACTGGAGCACTGTCAGTCTCTGAGGTTTAATCACAAATCTGTGAAAGGGGAGTGTTTGCTTAAGGTCCGGGGGTAGAAAACCTGTTATTGAAGTGCATATTTAATAATTTATAGCCATGAAGGATATTTGAAAATGGTCTCAATTGTGTTTTTGCACTGTGATTTGCATTTAATGTTTATGCCTTCTAGCGGTCAAAGTGTGTAATGCAAATTGGGGCCGTATGCCGACACATAAATGGATCACAGTTTGGGGTGAATTTAATGGGCACAGCAAGGAAATTTAACGCTTTCATACATTTTCCTTTCAGTTCTTCAAAAGCATGTGCGAGTCCACTTTGTGTGGATTCAGCGGGGTCATGAATGCTGTTTGCACAAAGTCACAATTGATGGAGAAGCAGGCCACCAAATGACATCGGACAAGTGACTTTATTTCAAATTAAACAATTAGGACAATTATGCAACGAGTTGCGATGTAATTAGGGAGACACCTGCTACTTTTCAAAGGGCTACTTAGCAGCCGGAAGCCCCAGGGAAAGATTCAATTCAGATTTCATTTGGATTTCTGTATGGCTTCAGTGTCAGGAGATTTGAGTTCGTTTGTAGCAAAAACAAGAATGAATTTCGGACTCTTTGCTCACGGTGAGTGATCCTGTGGTCCCCCCTGTTCTAAAGCATGCTGTTAGAGGACTGCTTTCATCTGTCAGTGATGCAAAGGGTTTATAGACAAGAGCATTATTGACAGAGATGAAAAGAATGAATAGAACAAAGTGATATGAGGACGGATAAATGCTGCTTCATACCAGAGAGGTCTCTGCCCACTCCCAAAGCCAAGCCATCCTTGATCCACAGGACAACGCCATGGTAACCGGGGATGGTGCACGGTAATGTCACAGGCTGGCCTGCTACCACCACCAGATCCTGTGGCTGCTGGGAAAACATGGCCTCCACCCCTTTAAAACAAAATAGACAAAGCAATCAGGTTAGATCTGCTTTTATCACTTTAAAGACAAACAAGAAGAAGTGGTAAGTTCATGACATGCGAGGAGATTAAATGGCAGTTCAGTTTCCTGGTAACAGGATCTTTGCAGTTATAGAACAATCACAGGGTCTGATCCCCATACCAGACTGTGGGAGTTATTAAACAACAGAGGTCATCACAACAGCTCTCACCCATGCCTAACCCTAGTGATCACAAGGTTTGAGAGTTCCCTCCTCACCTGCATCTTTAAAGGATCTGTTTTACCCTGGTAAATGCGTTGGCCCTAGTTTCTGTAGCAGAAACATACGGGAGTAAAGAAAATGTTTGTTTCCTGCTAAACATTCCTGGAGCAGAAGCGTGCCCTAAAACTGCACAACGTTCCCTGTTCTCCACCGATTTCATTCAACTTTCTTGTCAAACGTGTGTTGTAAGAAACCCTGAAGGGTGATATCCCCAAAAAGTGACATCTCGTTACTATTCATGATACAAAGACAAGATACTGTACTTGCACTAGAGTGCTGTGGTGAGATTAAAGCACGGCCTACGAGACAGCTATCATAGTTCAGCTTGGCTCGTTTATGCAGGATGTCACCATGCAGATGGGCCGGGCTCGTACACACCACAGCAGATAACACGATCACGTCTGCCAACGCCGCTCTGCTGGCATACATTAACTCCAGCTCACACCCATGTATTCCAGCGGTGCTCCTGCTATTAACTGCACTGCTCTGTGGCGTGTTGAGGTAGAAAGCACCGCCTAGTGAACTCCATTAGAGGTGTGTTAATGGGTGACAGACAGCAGAGGTGTGCTTGTTGCAGTGGGATGTGTGTGAGTCAGGATAAAAGGAGTAGAGAAGCGCTGGTTTGGACTTGAACCATCTAAAGTCCACACACACACACATTCAGCCAGACATTTTAACAAGTGGATTTTCTTCTCAGGTTTGGTTCAGGCGTGTGATTGGAGTTTGGAATTAGCACCTCTGGGAGTGTTCGCATCAGAAGGATCAGATTTCAGAAGTGTGTTATTGATCATTTGTGTGTAAAGAAACTCCAACATCTCTTTACTCTTCTGTTTGACTCCATTCTGATCTGTTTTCATGATTCGGGATGAAACAGCACACAGGAAGAGACGTAAAATCCTCACGAGCCCAGAAAACCAAAACAATTTTTTTTTCACTTTGCAAAAGGAATAAAACCTTAATAAATCTGCTTTCACCAGGAAAACAAATTGCAGCAAAAGGTTATAAAAAGTGTTACTCACACTTTATGACATCTTAATCAAACTTCTGCATTCAGCAGTTGGCATCAGATTGTAAACTGCTTTCAGCTCAATACCTCGTCTCCTTGAAGAGCAGTAACACCAACAAGAACAAGTGTGTTGCACAAATTGGAGCCCGTCTCACCATTATGCCAAACTAAAGACTGAGTGGAGTCTGAAAGCTTGTTTTCATTGTACTTCTTACTGTCTCGGTGTCCTTGCATGCTTATTTTCTCTGCTTAAAGAAAGCCATGATGTCAAACCTCAAGAAAATGAACGGTTGTTGTAAAATATCATTTAGATTGGAATTTCTAAATCACTATTTAATCCTGAGTCTTATTTGGGTTGATACATTAATAATATGTGTGAGTCCATTTTACAGAATGTCCAAAAGTTTGATATTGGTGTTTTTTTTTTAAAGAAGGGGTCATTTTCCTGGCTGAGACTGGCTGGGGGGAATTTCTTTGTTGCCCTTTAAACCAGGACACCTTTGTTGACCTTTCACAGTGCTGCTACATAAGGAGCTTTTCTCTGCTCTGTATTCTGCCTTCAGCAACCACAAAAGGCCATTGTATAGACAGCCGCTCACCACCAAGATCCAATCATTTTCTCATTTTATTGCTTCAGTCAGGGCTATGGTTAATAATGAGTTGAAGCCTGTTTGTTATTGTATGATTGAGCACAATCTTTCTTTAACACTGTCTAATCTTGGAACATTTCACTAAAAATGCAATTATCCCAATTATTTCCGTTAATTCATGAATTAATTGTGGGTTATTTCTAATTCAGATGCATCCAGGTAAAGACTTTGGTTTAAAGTTCACCTTCCTGCTAAGACAGTCACATTTTCACAAAACACTGATTGATCTTTTATTTTGTTGTTGTTTTATTTTTTCTTGTTTGTCACAATTCATACATAAAAATTGTCATAATTTGGTGTACAAGTGAAACTTTAAAGTAAAGCATCAGGTTCACAAGCAAATCATGAATAAGAAGCAGCCATGTCACAATAAAAGCAATACAATTTAAATATAAACTTTTTTTTCTGTCATTGTAAATCAAGCCATAGCCATATGATGAATTAGGAAGCTAAAGCCATGTACCTAGTCTTATTTAGTTCATCCTATTGCTAATTTATGTCAAAGATTGTCTGGTTAAATGGATCCAAACTCAAGGTGCAGTAGACAGGATGTACAGATGACTTATGTAAACAATCAACCAAAGCGATGCTGCTATCGCAGAGAAGATCCTCGAGGCTTCGGGTCAAAAAGTCTAAATGTAAAAAATAACTTAAAATATTTAGTTCATTCCAGAAAAAAATTATGAAATGAGCTACAGAAGCCACAGAACTGTGGCGTGACCCAAAAACAATAAACTTAAAGATATGCAGAAGGGGAGCTAATTCCCCTAAATGAAACAAGAAGTAATATCTACAAAACTACAAAACCCAAAGATACATGTATGATATGTGTGTGTAGAAGTATTTTCACACCAGACAGCACAGTATAGTATTTGTATCCTGTGCATACGTTTTCAGCAGTTTCAGACTAGTTTGCATTCATGTCTATTGCTCATAACAAAAACACTTTACTGTTTCTCCTCCTCTTGCTGTCCAACATTTTCTTAAGACAACGCCACATAATGCTGAATATGCTCCCGTTAAAATAATTGTGAGTTAACAAAATTTGTGAATATCTAAACACATAGCTGTTTAAACATCTGTAGTACATCTGGAATCTCTGTGATCTATAGCTACAAATCCTAATGCCATGGCAAAGTCAGAAACGTTAACACACCTTTGGTCACAGTGAGAAGTTCTTTAAAAACATACAAAAAACACCTCAGTGTCCCCTAAAGGCCAGCCCACACTGTGCGTTTTTCAGCTGTCGAACACGACTGCTCATGTCACACTGTGAAGGTGGCACACTGTATGGTCCAAGTTTTAAGTAAGCCAAACTGCACAACATCTCTCTCCAGCAGGACATGTTGAGTGCACCCCCCAAAATGCATAACTATAAGCCGACAGCTAACCCAAACAGCATTGCTGAAAACAGACAAAGGCGCTGCCTTAATACTGCTTTTATTAGACTCTGAACCAAACTCCAAAGGGAGTGGTCCGCTTGTTCCCACGTGTAATCTCCACTGTTGCTAATGTTGCTAATGCTACTCTCTTATTGTACACTGGTCACTAGCTGATCGCATCACCCTGGGTGTACTTCAATTGGTCAATTTCAGATAGGAGTTGTAGGTATTCAAGCAGTGCTTGAAGACCGTTGGAGGTGAACTTTAGTAATAAGAGTACTCATTAAGCTGTTTCAGAGCCACTCATGCTCGACAGCCACAGACTTGTAATCACCCTCATGCCCATGGTTTTTTGTCACGATTCTGTTCACGACAAAAGATTTGTCTGGGTCAGCCCAAAAACGCAGTGTGGTCTGGGCTTCAAGGCTACCTTTGTGTACAGTCTATCGGGGTGGGGAACCCTGGTCCATCAAGGGCTGTTATCCAGCATATTTTAGTTCCAACCCTGCTTCAACACACCAGATTTCAATCAGCACGTGATTAACAGGCTTATGCAGAGTCTGATGAGCTGCTGCACAGGTGAATCAACCACTGAATCAAAAGTGTTGGAGCAAAGACATGCAGGATAACGGCCCTCGAGGACCAGGGTTCCCCACGCCTGGTCTAAGTCATCCAGGGCAAGTTCATCTTTAAAGTTTAGTGGAAAACCACTGGACTTTGTTTTCCTTGAAGAGGTTTCGCTTCTCACCGAAGAACCTTCTTTAGTTCTGAAACTTGGGTTGGATGTAGAGGATTTAAAAGGTGTGGTCTGAAATAAACAATTTGATATGAGTTGCTGGTGATGGTTAGGGTTAGTTTGTCTCATTGCTGCTGACAATCCAAACAGGTCGCCAACAAAGCTCACCTGCTCACTGTTTCGGTCACGTCTCAAGTTGTGAGCTTTGGTTTAACATCCTGGGGAGACAAGTCAAGACTGCATTTTAGATGTTGGAAGATGAAACCTAAGGTCACCCCGTTTGTTACACGTTGTTTTTTTTGTGTTTCACACAGACGTCATCTTTCACCCCTCTCTCAAACCATCTATGTTCCCTGTCCAAAATATGGTCATTATTTTCTTTAGATAAGTGACCTTTTCCCTTGAGGTGTAGATGAACTGCTGAGTCTTGACCTGAAGCTCTTGTGTGTTGTGCCATCCTTTCGTGTAGCTAGTTAATTTCTCTGACGTCTGAGCATTCCTTGAAGCACTGGACTGCATATACAGGTCCTTCTCTAAAACTTAGCATAATGTGATAAAGTTAATTATTTTCTGTAATGGACTAATAAACATTAGACTTTCATATATATATTAGATTCATTACACAAAACTGAAGTAGTTCAAGCCTTTTATTGTTTCTAATATTGATGATTTTGGCACACAGCTCATGAAAACCCAAAATTCCTATCTCAAAAAAATTAGCATGTTTCATCCGACCAAATAAAAGAAAAGTGTTTTTAATACAAAAAATGTCAGCCTTCAAATTATGTTCAGTTATGCACTCAATACTTGGTCGGGAATCAGGCCAACTGAGCACAGTAATACCATGGTCAGTAAACCATTTACCAGTGGTGTTGGCACTGTGAGAAGGTGCCAGGTCGTGGTGAAAAATGAAATCTTCATCTCCATAAAGTTTTTCAGCAGATGGAAGCATGAA